AACCTCTCGTACAATGATCTTCAAGGCAAACTTGATACAAAATTCTCTCACTGGCCAGCCGAAGCGTTTGCAGGAAACTTGCAGCTCTGCGGAGCCCCTCTTAATCGCTGCAATAACGCAAAGTACAGCGGTTATCAGTCCAGCACGAGTGAATCACTGGTGGTAGTTATTTCAGTTATTTCAACCATAATTTCAATTGTTCTGCTCATAATGGGAGTCACTCTCTTCTTCCAGCGCAAGCGGGAATTCTTGACAAAAGGTGATGAAGTCAACCGTGCTCACTCATCCAGCTCCTCCCAAGCGCAGAAAAAGCCGCTCTTTGGCTCTGTCAAGGGAGATTTCAAATGGGAGGACATTATGAAAGCCACAAACAATCTAAGCGACAAGTTCATAATTGGGTCAGGAGGGTCTGGAACTATATACAAAGCAGAGTTTCCCACTGGAGAAACCGTGGCGGTTAAAAAGATTCTGAGAAAAGACGATTTCCTGCTAGATAAAAGTTTTTCGAGAGAAGTGAAGACGCTGGGGATGGTGAAGCACCGGCATCTGATGAAGATATTGGGATACTGTTGCAAGAGAGGGGCCGGATCAAATCTGTTGATATACGAGTACATGGCTAATGGGAGCGTGTGGGATTGGCTGCACCAGAAACCAGTGAACCGAGCGAAGAGTAAGATGATTGATTGGGAAGGAAGAGTGAGGATTGCGGTGGGGCTAGCGCAGGGTGTGGAGTACCTACACCATGATTGTGTGCCGAAAATCGTTCACAGGGACATTAAGTCGAGCAAGTATGAAAAACTGTATATCGAGAGATCAAGAGAGAGATAACTTCCCATTTTTCTTTCCTCTTATCCTTGCTTATATCCTTTTGTCATCATTTTTCCTGTCTCCTGTGACGTGCTTTTTTTCGCCGAAAGCCTGTGCCATAGCTCATCTTGTTTAGGGTGATGGAGGCTCTGTTCCGGCGGGGAGTGTTGTTGTAATAAATGCTGTGATGGGTCGCATTAATGGTGATGTGTTGTGATAATAACTCTGCAGATCTTTGTCTGCTGATGTGGCCCGTGTCCCACCTGCCGTGTGCCTAAATGCCGTTGGCCCTTCATGTCTAGGTGGCCTCCAGCTGTTCTGGGCCTTGTCAACCGGGTTGTGCCATTGGCCCCAAGCGATGGGTTCGGGGTGGTTTGCCGTGGGCCGTATGCCTTGTGGGCCTATCCATGTCATATATATATATATTTAGAAATACTATACAAACTAATAATTAATTATTATAAATATTTTTTTATTGATTGATCATTAAGTTATCAATCTTCTCATCAATCCCAAAACATTGAAAAAAAAAATGTAATATTTTCTATTGTTACACGTATCAACATATTTTTTTTAAAAAAAAATACTGTACGAACTAATAATTATTATAAGTATTTTTTTATTGATTGATCATGAAGTAATAAAATTCTAAAACTTGAAATGAAATTCATTACAATAATATTATAGAGAAAAATATTATATAATTTGTAGGAAAGATGCTAAAACAAAGACTAAGAACATTTATGAAAGTTATTAGTTTGTATATTATTACTCATATCATAGATTTATTTCAATTAGTAAAAAAATATTAATTTGTATAATATGATTATAATTTTAAATAATAATTTTAGACCTTCTTTTTTAATAGGTGAGGCTTTTTTTTAAAAAAAACAAAAAAAAACAAAAAATGATAAGATTATATAAAGCTTAACTATAATTTTCAAAAATTCGACATCTTTAGTAATATTTGTGGCCAAGAGCATTGACTTTGGTGGCTTAAAGTTGAGTGAGCTTGCAGACGACCTTCCTTACAAAAAAAAAAAACCATAGAATTCAACGTCCAGAGGAGGTCTAGCAACGGTCAAAAATTTTTTGAGTAAAGTTCATCCGGGTGTACACCATTCGGATTAGCTCGATTTTGACAAAATTCAAGAATCGAATTGATTTTAATGATTTTATAATTTTGAGAATTAGATTAGATCATTACAGTTGTAAAATCGAATTAGAACCAAACTGAAATATGTTAGATAATGTCTCAATGGGACCACATAATTAAATGTGGTGTTATCATTTATAAGAAGCTTACAATTTAAGTGATTCAATTTAGTTAATAGGCTTAAGGGTATATGTGTTATGGACCTAATGTGTAGATACTAGTTGTATAATTTCTATTTCTATGAGGGGCAGAAATAGAAATTAAAACATATTGGTTAAAGTTGGTTTTCATTCCTTTTGAACTTCCACAACCTTTCAGTTTTGAAAACCAATAAATAGAAATTAAAACCAATAATGGTTGAAGTTGGTTTTCATTCCTTTTGAACTTCCACAACCTTTCAGTTTTGAAAACCAATAAATATAAATTAAAACCAATAATGGTTGAAGTTGGTTTTCATTCATTTTGAACTTCCACAACCTTTCAGTTTTGAAAACCAATTACAACCTTTAAAAGGTTATGGTCCATATTCTTTCCCAGGTAGAAATAAGAACACTGCCATTTTTCCTAAATCTTCTCAAGGAGAAACATAAGGCACCAAAGGGGAAAGGATTAGAAGGCAATAACATAATCAATAACAAAGAGTTCATTGATAATCACGATTCCGTTTAACCGTTCATCAATGGATTCAGGTATGTCATTTTGTCTTGATTTTTTAATAATACACATGGTAAATGATCCAAGGTGTAAGGTTTATGTTCTGAAATTTATGTTTACAAAATAATGGTTCCGTTTCGGTTTGGTTCACGGTTTCAAAAATTTTTATTTATAAGAATAAATTGCTAATATTAGTAAAATAATTATTTAAACTAATTACATTTAACTCATGATAAAAATTAATAATATTAAGGCATTACTCAACATTACATATCTATATATCATTAAAATTACAAAAATCAATTAATAAAAATAAAATTTGATATTATATATATATTTTTTAAAATTATGTTCGGTTCGGTTTGAATCGTAGGTTTTTCATAAAATTCATTAACTAAACCGTTTTTACGGTTCTCATATTTCTTAAACCGAAATTGAACCAATTCTTAATAGAATCGAACCAAACCGTACAATTCGGTCTGTTTCTGTCCGAATTACTGGTTTGAACGGATTTTTGAATAGCGCTAAAAGTTCAGCAATGAGAGAGAAAAGAAAAGAAAAGAGGGGAAAGGAAAAGCAGGGGCAAAAAAATTAGCAAAATGACGTCGTTTTGATACCATAGCAGAAACTATTGCAGGAAACAATAATAGAGGATCCAGACTCGAAGAGGCCAAAACACATCGGATAGGATGTTTATAATTGATTTATGAGAAAACATACATATAGAGTCCGGATCCTTGGCTGCCCTCTCCAGCGGCCCTTCCTACGACGTCCCAAAATGACGTCGTTTTGGGGCCTAAAAAAAACAAAAACAAAAGAAAGAAAGAAAGAAAGAAAGAAAGAAAAGATAGAGAATGAAGGGATCTTCTTTGGAGAGGAGGATTTGTTGGGTTTCTTCTGATCAATCCTCAAGGCTCTCACAAAAAACAGAGATCTTCCAATTCTTCTCATTGGCTTCATCTATCTCTATCTGTTGTTGTCTGCACTATTCACTAATGGAGTGTCCCCTCTGCAAATCATACAAATTTGAATAACCCCAAAAACAAAGATGAAAATTTTGTAAGAGAACAAAAAAATCAATCCTGTTTGGTTGTAGAGAAAATGTAATGATAATAGATCAAATTAAAATTTTGGATTTGAATTTCCCATATTGAGAGCAAACTCTCTTGGGTCCAATCAATTTTATTTATTTTTGAGTTTCTCAATATTTAGAGACCAAAATAAGAAACATTTACCACAAATTTTCCCTTTCATTTGACTTGGTTTTCTCCACATCCAAACACAGTGAATGGAAACATAAAATAGGGTTTTGAAATTCAAAAGAAGAGAGAGAGAGAGAGAGAATGGGACAAACCTGTACATGAAGATGCCTTTGTTATCAAACACTTCACCCGCAACCACCACACACCAAAATCTCTCCCTCAGACAGCGAAAGCGGGTCAATGTCTAGGGTTTCGCAATAAGAGGGTACGGGGTCGGAAATTGGTACTAGATTTAGGTAAATCTGTGAATTCTATTGTTAAAGGGAAAAAAAGTTTCGATCCTCCTCCTCTCCTCTTCTTGTACCCCTTATCTTTTTCTTTCTCTGATGTGGCCAGATTGCGGCTTCCCACTAGGCTGGTGAAAGCCATCTCTAGCATCTTCTTCTTCTTCTTCCTCTTCTATTCCTCCTTCTTTTCTTTTTCTCTACTTTCTTCTCATTCCTTTCTTCTTCTCCTCTCTAGGTTGCTCTTATTCTGTCTTTTTTTTTTTAATTGAAATTTGGCTCCAAAACGACGTCGTTTTAGGGCACCGCAAGAAGGGCCATAGGAGAGAGTGGCCGAGAATCCGGACTCGTAAGCATTCTATTATAAATTAACATAACATTATTATAAAATTTTATAAGTTGTTTGGGAAGTGCTAGATTAGTATACAAAAAATCGTAAAATATGGGTTAGATTTGAAGTGATATGATATGGTAAAGAAATGATATGACTTAAATAAGATGATTGTAACCTAAATAGAATAATGTGCTAAAATAACTTGTGTGCCAAATAATCACGTAATTTCGTTATAAATTAATATAATAAAATATTTAAAATTTTATAATTGATATTATAATAATTTATAATTTAATTATAATATTTTTTATTACGTTAATTTGTTACGAATTTATAATTATTTTTTTTAAATATGATAAAATAAAAATATTATAACTATTAATAGTAAGAAGTAAGTGCTATCATTAATGATGTGGCAGTGGGCCCCACCAGGAATGATTTGATGTTTTGGCCTTGATGTTATATTTTTTTTCTTTTTTTATTGAGTACCATGTCATTAGTGGTCTTTTTAGAGCTCCAAAATTAGTGATCTCTATCATTGTTGTTTTTTTTAATGAAACAATTTCAAATATGAAAGCAAAATTCGCAGTCGCCGGCGAACCCGAAGAAGCCCAACTATAAATAAATAAGGGGTCACAATCGAGAAGAAATCGAAGATCCCTTTTCCAGATGCTCGTCCTCTTCTGTTGCAAAGAAATGGAAGATTCTCCAATAGAAGAGGCCAAAAAAACACAGAGGAAGTTTATGATTGATTTATATATGAGAATCAATCAGAGTTGTCTACTCAACCGCATTCAGTCCAATCCAGAAGGAATAGCGATAACGATATATGCCGCAGATGACTCTGATTCATGCTTCTTCTTCTTCTTCTTCTTCTTCTTCTTCTTCTTGGCTGAGTAGTTGCTTAGACACAGTGATCTTTGCAAGCTTGATATGGTTGATTTTTCGAATAGCGAAGCTCTTATTATGGTCCAGTCATAATGATGCTTCTGATTCGAAGCTCCGAGTTCCTCCAGGTAATCGAGGATTACCATTCATCGGAGAAACCTTACAGTTGATGAAAGCTGTCAAGAGCAGCAATGGCGTCCATGACTTTGTTAGGGTTCGCAGACTTAGGTAATGTTAATCTTCGTTTTCTTTTTTTTCCCTTTTTATGTTGTAATAATTTTACTCAGATACGGAGCAAATTTTAATTCATTCACTCTCTTCAAATGATTGAGTGGTTCTCATCTAATTTGTAATTATACATTTTTTATGGAATGGACCAGTTACCAAAAATCCGTTTCAAAACAATACTTTTAGTAAAGTTTTTATTTAATAATTAATAATTGATTCGCACAATTTTTTCCCAAACTTATATTTTATTCCCATTTCACTTATTTTTCTCTTTTTTTTTTTTTTCTTTCTAAATTACTAGTAAAAGTCTGGTTTCTTAATTGTAAGAGTCTCATTCAGCCAAAAATTGTGTGAATGAATCATTGCTGTCAAAGGTTTCTTAGCTGTGGGGAAAAAAAAAATCAAATATTATGACAAAAAATTATAGTGAGTGAAGTTTTGACTGAATAAACCATAAAAAAATGAGTTATAATGATTTTAGAATTGTATTGACACATGAATAATTTGAAAAAAAATATACATTTTATTAAATGTTTAATGGTTGAAAGGAAATTACTCAAGAGATGCCTTAAATATCGTACCGAATTTCAGAGCATGTGCATACCATGTTTCTATTCTTGTTCCACGTTCTGGGTAACATAGCAATGAACTATTTTGCCCTTAATTTCTGCATAATTTTGTAATGAATGTTATCGCTTGGACTATATTGACACAATATTAAAAATTGAAAGATAAAATTGATACAATTGGAACTATGGTGTACCAAATTGACACAAAATGATATTAGAAGCAAATTACAATACCACAAAATATAAATATAAACTTACCATGAAAAAGAGATACTACTGATTTTGCTTTTAAACAGGTATGGAATCTGCTTCAAAACCAATGTATTAGGACAGACCCATGTTTTTCTTTCGAGCACTGAATCAGCTAAGGCAATCCTAAACAATGATTCAGGAAGATTTCCAAAGACATTAATTAAGTCAATGGCAAAGATAATGGGACAAGAAAGCGTGTTCAGTGCCCCTAAACAACACAAGCTGATCCGCAACCATCTTGCCTACTTTTTCTCTACAAGTTCTGTATTGCTGTTTATCAAACAGTTTGATAAACTGGTTTTAGATGCACTTGGTAGCTGGGAGCATAAGGGCACCGTGATTATACATGATGAAGTAGTAAAGGTTGATTGTACAATTAATCAAAAAATGATTTTTTTTTTTTTTCTTTCAACAAAGTGTTATGATTTTGATTCCATTTTGTGAAGCTAAAGTGTTTTTGATTTTGGATTTTAATTGGTGCAGATTATCTTGAAGACGATGTTGAAGAGCATGATGAGTTTAGAGAGAGAGGATGAGGTGGAGATGATGCAAAAGGATATTGCTACTGTTTGGAAAGCGTTGCCAGCGTTGCCCATCATGCTACCTTGGACTAGATACTATAAAGGCTTCCAGGCAAGTAAAGCTCATCAACTCATTCATGAACTTCCTACCTAATGACAGTTATTAATTCCTCAACTAAAAACTAAATAGGACTTACAATAACTAAATTAGTTTGGCTAGTTTGAGTTTCCGTATTGCAATATTCGTAAAATTAATTTCTACAGATGTCATGATGATGATTATATAAATTAGTCTCTCATGTTTCATGCTAGGTTGATGGTCATAGTGTCATTAGGGTCATTAAGATCGTAATTTTTAGTATATTTCTCATGTCATGCTTAATAATTTATCTGATCCGTATACTATTATTTCCTGCACATGTTTCTTTCATTTTAATGGCGGATATTTTTGTGCTTGGTGATGTGATGATATCAGCAATACAATTTGGGTGATAACTTGAGAGTCCATTTGTTTTGAAAATGATGAATCAGGCAAGACAAAGAATCATGGCCAGAGTAGAGAAAATATTTAGTGAAAGAAGAAGCGGCTCAGGAGCTCATCATGAAGATTTTCTCCAACACCTTCTCACAGAAACCCCGTCACTAACTGATGCACAGATTAAGGACAACATCTTAACCATGATTATTGCAGGTCAAATATGAATGCATTTTTACATTTCTTAATTAGCTGTCTTTCTTGTTATTTGCTTATGACAAGAAATATTGTATCCATACAGGTCAGGACACAACTGCTAGTGCAATTGCATGGATGGTCAAGTTCTTGGGTGAAAACCAAGAGATCATCAACACACTTAAGGTAAGTGCAACAAAGATAGATTTATGTAATCACGGATCACCCCCTCATTCATGTATGTACATTTATTTTAAGAAATTACTATTACCTGATCTTCCATTTTTATTCACACTGCACTGACATAGAGATGCTAGTTTATTGTTTTCTTTCTAATATTGAATAAATGTTGGCTTGTCTATTGAACAGGCTGAGCAACTTTCCCTGGTAGAAAATTTTTTGCCTGAGTCATTCCAAACGCTAGACAATCTTAATGACATGCCTTATGCTTCAAAGGTATCAAAACCTAATGAGTTTGAGATATGTTTGGTATGGTGACTGGAGTTTAGTGTCACTTTCTGGTGCGGGTCAACTGATCACTATTTGTGTACACAGAGTAGACTCAATAACATGTTTAGTAAATTCATTTGAAGTTGAGATTATATGCAAAAATTGTTGTGAACTAATTAATTAATGAAAATGCTTATAAACAGGTTGTTAAAGAATCATTAAGGATGGCATCTATAGTACAATGGTACCCAAGATTAGTAGTGCAGGACTGTGAGATTCATGGTTTGTTTTTAAACACCCATTAATTAAACTCGCATGATAAAATCTACTGTACCTTAGTTGTCCCTGGAGTTCAAACTTCATTTTCTCAATTTTTAATTTTATTATAGGATATACAATCAAGAAAGGATGGAAAGTTAATGTTGATGCAAAATCAATACACTATGATCCTGCAGTGTATAAAGACCCCAACAAGTTCATTCCTTCCAGGTTTGATGTAAGTGTTTTCATGTAAATGTTGTTAGTGTTTTCATTATCAAATTTGAACCAGAAACTGGGAGACTATATATATATGATAATCAAAGGATATTGAAGTTGGGAAATAACAATTGGATTGGAATAATATTTTGGAGTTGGGACTCCATATTTCCGTGTTGTAATCAAAGGATATTGACATGGTGGCACTATTCCTTTGAAACAGGCTGAATCAAAACCATACAGTTTCATACCTTTTGGACAGGGAGAAAGGATATGTATGGGGATGTATATGGCTAGGGCTATGATGCTAGTCTTTCTCCACCGTCTTGTGGTCACTTACAAGTGAGTTCTACCTATCTGACTTAAACATTATATAATGTAGCAAATGACATATGCTAGGATAACTTAGTTAAGTTGGCCATTTCTGATTATCAAAATCTTCGTTTTTTTAATTTCAACTTGCTTCTTTTTTTTCAATCTATATGTATGGAAATTATCTTCATGTAATTACATTTGCATAAAATGTTAACTCTTTATGTTAATTGGGGATTGTTCAAAAACCAAGTTAAAATTCTTCATATTTAAGGCTCATCTAAAAGAGAGTTGTATGTTAGGTAATTTGAGAGCCAACACGTGATAATCCCCATCACACCCCTTATGAATATACAAATTTATTCATAAATATACATCTAATCTGACACGGGTTGCTTTGGTGAAAAAATATACAAATTTATTTAATTTAACTGAATATATAACCCTTGATGGAGTAGAATGACGAAAAGAAATACATTTAGCCGACTCCACTTGATTGAGATACAAAACTTAGTTTGGTTTGGATGGGTTATAGTGTTAGATACTACTATTGTTCATAAAATTTTGAAAACAGAATAAAGTTTTAGACGATCTCCAACTGTTGATATACTTGCATTGTTTAATTCATGGAATATGTGAAGAAGAAAGGAAAAATACACTAGTAATTGACTGGTAAACATATGATTTTGATGATCAGGTGGAAGGTGATTGACTCGGATTCAAGCATTTTGAAAGGGGCACCTTTTATGACATTAAAAACTGGTTGCCCTATACATGTTACTCCTATTAGGGAAGGTGCTAAATCAAATAAATGATGATAGGACATGAGTACTATCATCAAGGAACTCGTCTATCTATTGATGGGTTGTAAGTGTTGTAATAATGTGGCAAGTTTTCCCAACTGCTTCCCATCAATTTAAGTGTGTATGTCCAAACAATATATTGTGTATTTGCCCAAAAAAAAAATAAAAAAAATAGCACTGAGTCGATGCCATGAATGAAAAATTGATGTTCTCTTTCTTATGTGAGATAAAACGAAGGACAAAGAAGATAAATTTAAAATCAAACAGTGTAAATTATAAAAAAGTTTGTTTAAAATACAGATTGATCCGTATAGTTTTGAAAATTACATTACACCCCTTCAAGTTTTTAATTTCATAATAAATGGTTCATTTTATTAATGAATCATCAATTCAAGTAATAATATTTAATGATGTCAAAAATATATTTCAATTAATAATTCATGTAATTTTATTACTGTATAGGAAAGTAGTTAGCAATTTTATTTTTTTAATTAATTTTGTTAAATAAAAGATTATTTATAATTTTTTAAATTATAACGGACAATTTATATTTTAATCAAATTTCATGGAGTGTATTTGTAATTTAGCCAACAGAAAAAGAAAAAACTGAGATTATATTGTATTCTGTATTACAAAGAAGACTGGAATGTGATTATGAAATGCTTATTTTTTAGCATTCTCAATTCAAGCGATTATGAAAAAAGAGACCAAAATTTGAAATTTTACAGATTATTTATTAAAAAAAAAAAGTTATGCTAAAAAATTGGATATGGGAGAATTTATTGTAGAAAAATAAACGCCATAGAGAAGTTAGAAGTAATTTTTTAAGCAAATCCCTTTTTTCTTTTTTCCTTTTGTTTACAAATCACTTTTCAAATTTAAAATTCAAAAACCATATCTCTTTTTTTGTAAAAACATGGGAACATTATATTAATAAATAACAAGATTACACAAATAAGACCACAAAGGGTCATTCTAACAAAACAAAAAACAAAAAACAAATCTATCAAAAAAATAACTATGAGTTAGGGAAAATCACAAATCTTTTCAAAGATATGATCAAAAAAGTAAGTTCTGCTTAAAAATCCATCGCCTTCGTCATTGTTGTCCAACTCTGTCGCCACCGGATATCGAACACCACCAGAAGCCAGAGTGAGAAGGAAGTACACTCATTGTGTGAGAGATGACTTGAGAGAGAAGGTAACCATTGTTAGGATTGAAAATTCAAAAATCTATGTTGAAAGCAAAGGAGAAAATTCTTAAAATTCTTACTTCTGATATAAAAAGTCTAGATCTATGCTCGAAAATTGTAGATCTATTTTCTAAGAATGTAGATCAACATTTTAAAAATATAAAGTGCATTACCAAAATATCGCCGGAGTACTATCGCAGCACTGCCGAAAATTACCTAAAAATCGTATATCATATCTATACTATTTGGCAAGTGGGTTTGGATAAGTTTGGGACTATTTTAGCCATAAAAGGCAAAATAGGCTATTTTAGCCACAACAAATAAAACATCACATTAAATCCATAATCATTACACTCTTCTCTCATAAAAAAAATTAGAAAAGCCAAAAAATCAAAAAACCCTTCCCAAACTAAACTTTTTAGCCCAAACTAAAATAACCAAAAAAATTAAAAAATCAAAAAAACAACCCACTCCCCAAACCACACCATATAAAACATGTTGGCAGACTTGGTGAGCAAAAGTCAGCAAAGAACTTTAAAATTTTTGCAAATATGTGGTATAATGATCTCTGCGTATTAATCAATAAAGCCTTATAAGTCAAGGGTAATTACTTAGCAGTTTCAGAGTACAATTTGAAATTGTTTATATGGTTGCTTCAACCTGTTGGGAATTTTACAATACATATTTTCATATTATATATATTTTTAGTTACGTTATTTTATTTTTTAGTTATAATTATAATAATTTTTTTTTTTATAGTTATAACATTATTATGAAATATCTAGTTATGACTTTTTTTTGTGTTTGGTTATGATTTTTTTTTTTTTAGTTAAGGCTCAGAAAGAATGGAATTGTATCATTTTTTGGAATTGTATCATTTTTTTTTGTATAATGTACATGTAGTATACACCATTTGAGGGATGTATACCGTAGTCTTTCTCTCAACACATAATAGAACATGTCGATTCCCATTTGTTAGGTAAATACTTGATTATCACAGTTTCTTATTTACTGGAATATCACGTAAACAATAATACAAGATATAGTCCAAAAATAAAATTAAAATTTTTTGAACCATCAATATCGTCCCAGATATTATCTTAAAATATATGGCTTTTTTTTTTTTTTTTTTCCTTTTTTGGTAAGTCAGTCAAAATATAGGGAATGAGATTGGTGATGTGCCTTATAAGCATAGCACTGTGTTGTGAGCCTGTGAAGGCACGTCTTGAATTTATTTTAATAATTTTTAATGATCCGAAATGTTCATTGTGTAGGGTTTGTTGAGTAGATCATCCATGAAAAAATTCAAATTAATTAGACATTTGTAACTTATAACAAAACTACGTTTATGTTAAAAAAATAAACGGTTAGTATGATTTTAATAATTTTTTAGAGTTATTATTTGTTTTGATCATGTAATTATATTTGTTCGATTAATTTCATATTTCATAAGAATAATATACTCAACAAATCTTATAATATAAATGATTCACATTATCAAAATATAAACAGAGTAAACCATATGAGGTGCGACAGCATGGGTGCTGTCACAGCACCCACTCCCAACCCCAAAATACACGGTTATTTTTCGTCTGCAAAAAAAAATGTATGGTTATTTTAACGCATTAGTACTCTTGAACCTTTTTTAAAGTTAGGAGTTCAAGCTTTTGCAGACATAATTTACATTTATGAAAAAATAATGAGATTTAAAATATTACAAAAAAAAAAAAAAAGGGTCTGACTTCTATAACAAAATAAATATTAAATTTTTAATTTTGTCAATTTAAATTTTAATCTTTTTATTTGTTTTTAATCTAAACCATATGTTATTTACTTTAAGTAAAATCGACCAAAAAAATAAAAATATTTTAATCATTAACTCACCGAAAAATGATATTTTAGACATTTTACGTAAATTTATAATGGGTTTAATGATTAAAATACTCATTTTTTGTCTGTTTTACCTAACAAAAATAGGTTGGTAGTTAGATTTAAAAAAATAAAAAATTTAAATTTAAATTGATAAAATTAAAAATTAAGTATTTATTTTATTACAATAGTCAAACCCTGATTTTTTTTTTCTTTTTTTGTAATTTCTCCAAAAATTATTAAACATTACAATCGTGCGGCCCAGACTTGGCACGCTTGTAGTATTGTCCTGAAACCCAGCCTACATTATAATCGTGCTTTGAACATTTGTTTGGGCCATCCATGCGGATCTAAACTACAATCTGACGCCCAAATAAAACGTGGGTGTTCTTGGGCAATCTGTTGGGCCATGTCCACCCCATGGCCCACTGAATAGGATTGTTGTGAATCGTGGTTCAACTGCCACATGTATTCAGAAAATTTTAATTACACATATTTTTTTTTATTTTTGAGTAAATTATAAATATACTCCTCCGAATTTACTTAAAATATAAATTGTTCCGTGAGATTCTAGAAATTACGTCCCGTCCTTTCAAGATTCTAATTGCATCACAAATGATCAATTTTTTAATAGATTATCAAGTCAATTAATAATTTTTAATGATATCATAAATATTTTTTTGACAAAGATATATCTGTAATTTTCAAAATCACATAGAGAAATTTGTATTTTAAATAAATTTTAAGAGGCGTATTTGTATTTTACCGTAATTCTTTTTACACCCACCACGTGTATTACACCTTATACATATCGATGTAGCCAGAAATTTAGGTGCTATTTGATAAAACTGAAAATTAATTATTAAAAATTGAATACTAAATTTTTAATTTAAAAAACTATTTGTTATGTATTGAAATTTGAGTACTTATTCAATTAAAGTTGTTTAATCTATACAAGCAGCTGAAGTCTAAAAATAATTAACATTTTAATTTCGTCATTTTACTTTTTACATTGAAATATTTAATTAGATTCTTTTATCACACTAATCAGCTTGCTTGGTTCCATTTTTTCAAAAATATTTTTCAAAAAATTCTACTTTCTTATTTTTTGTGTTTTTTTTTGTTTTTATTGAATTTTTTGAATATTTTAAGCAATTTTTTTTACTTTTTAGACACACCTAACATAAATACACCTAAAAAGTAAAAAAAATGTAAAAAAAATCTTTTAAAAATTTACTAAATACCAAAAATACAAAAAAAAAAAACAAGAATTCACTATATTTTTTGTATTTATTAATCTTTTAAAATGTTTTTTCACAAATTTTTTACTTTTTAGATACATCTAAGTAAGGTGCATAAAAAAAAAGTAAAAAAAATGTATAAAATTTTAAAAATATTCACTAAAAACAAAAAAAAAAAAAACACGAAAATAAAAAAAAACTCAGTTTTCAAAAAACTTAATCCAGAAAACTTAAACCAAACACACTGAATATAATTGGCAAAAAAAAAAATGATTGTAATCACAATTTTTTTTTTTTTTTTGATTCAGGAGAAAATAAAAGAGTTTACAAGATAGCCATGGGATAATTAATCTCTTCTAGAACTGACATTCACGATGTCAGCAATTAACAAAGAAATTATACAATCAGGTGGATTTTCCAGAAACACTAAATGTTCCTGTTGATTGACTCCTGTATTGGCCAAAGCATCAGCACATTGATTGACCTCCCTAGGTGTGGTTTGAATGGAACAGTTGCGTCTTCTCAAGATGAAGTTGACATCCTTTATGATTGCTTGGTAAGGTGAGTTCCCTGCAGTGCCATCTCGTACCAGCTCCATTATTATTTGTGAGTATGTTTCTATCTTAATGTTTGACAATCCCTTTTGCATAATGATGGTCAATCCTCTGTAGATATCCGAGAGATCAGCTTCTAGACTTGTGCAATTGCCCAAGTAGCCATGATAACCCCATACCCAGGTGCCCATTTCATCCCAGAAAAGTCCTTCATAACCTGATTGCCCTAGATTTCCCTTGGAGCTGCTATCAGTGTTGAGTTTAAGTTTACCTGCAAAAAGACAAGACCAGGTAGTTAGTTTTGGTGTTGAAAAATTACAGTGTAGCATATTAAGGAAGGCTTTTCGAATTTCCATAGGTTGAG